GGATTCCGAAGAGGGTTCCAGTTTCTTCTGGCGATGGCATCTGGATTGGGACGATGGAGCCGAAGTAATTGGTTTTCTAAACGGAGAATGGTTTCGAGAGAAAAAATCTGCTTCCGTTTTATTGCGCAGTTGACGAAGGCATGTAGAATTACTAAATGTATGAACGATGTTTCATTAATTTTTTTTTAATTTGTGATAAGTTCTTGTTTACATTTTTCTTTATATTTGCACATGAAATGTCACCACCGTAAAATAAATCATGCGTTACCGTGAAGGCATGGAGCGAGTAACGTCGAAAATTTTTCTGGTAGTTTGGTTACCTTAGCATAAAGTCCTGCGAAATGCTTTTGTGTTTGCGAACAAGTGAAAAAATTAGTACCCTAGAGCACCACATGAGACACGTTGTAATTTTCACCCCGTTATTTTCATAAATTAGTTTTGGAGATGCAGCGAGCGACTCAGATAAATGACAGATGTGGATTGCAAACGCTGATCCCGTCGGAGTCTTGCGTAGCTTTGCACTGTTCCGCTGGTCACATTTCCATTTTTGCATAGGGAAGCGGTCGCCCCCCTCTCCCCTGAATCCGCCCCTGCTCTACCATCTCAAATATGGATCAATTATGACGGCTAAAGAGTAAATACATTCTTCAGAGCGTACAACATTTAGTGCTTTCCATAGATCGGTCCCGCCATTCCCGCTCACAACACCTCTATCTTCGCTCAAGATTGTTCATTCTGCCACGAGAGAGGAAGAAACGAAGACTAGAGCAGTTCATAGATTAGCCCTGCGTGCCACACCTTATCGAACGCTTTGGTAACGTCAAAGAGAGCTAAGAGATGCTTTTCACTGTTGAGAGCCTCGAGCGCGTCGTGGTGGAGCCGAACGAGTTGATCGGTGGTTCTTCAATTAGGTCGAAAGCCTGATTGACAAGAGGTGAGAAGGTGAGGTGAGGAGAGGAGAGGTGAGTAGGTGAGGTGAGGAGAGGAGAGGTGAGTAGGTGAGGTGAGGGGAGGAGAGGTGAGAAGATTCCAGATAGAGTTATTAGCACTAAGTCGGTATTTAATACCTGAAATTAACAGATCGCGTCAAGTTCTCGGGTATTGATGAGCTAACCTCATTTATGAACATCGAACATTCAGCGATGAGAACGAAATCGGCGAGATTGTTTCCTCACGGTTCGGTCCGAGTTGGCGACAAGCAGTTGGAAGCATGCATCCCCTAATACGGAATCAAATTTTTTTTTCAAGAAACGACCGAGAACCTATCCAGTGTTACCACCCAACTAACATCAGATATTGGCTCAATGCTGGACCAACATTGACCACGATGTCAAAACACATCGTGCCATTATTGCCAATACCGGCTAAATATGCGTCAAATATTGACTTCTCAATATTGCCATTCCATCATCGATCCAATATCAGACCGACGCGATGATCCAATGAGCTTAATTTGCCCAGATAATGTTTTTTTTTGTGGAAATGTTGAAGTTCACCTCTTGGCCACTAGATGTCGGTAAGAGTCTCGCTTTTCCGCGCAGTACACAAAAGCACGCTTCCCGCTTTCTATAGAATCATCCCTCACAGGAGTGATTAGTACCTCACCATATGTTGTTTCAGATCTCATTACAGTAATTACAGTTTTTCCCAATTGCTAACGTCCGTTTCTCAAAACTACGTTTCCGTTTTCAAAACTATTTGAACAAATCCCAAAACTCTGCAAAAGGAATGACTTGCGACTTTCGGAAATTCAACAAATGATCGCTGACGATGAGGAAACCTTCTCAGGTATACAAACATTGAGTACCTCCACAATCGCCAGAATCCTGAGCAAGTATCGGTGCACAATGAAGCAATTGTTCCGTGTGCCATCCCGAAGAAACACGGACGACGTGAAGGAAAAGAGTTTTAAATACGTCCAGGTACACAAACTTTGGGAATATTAGCTAGCAACCTTTCTTAATCGGAGAGTCCCACCTTTCCCAGTCACCGATAAATTTTGTCATGAAATTATCCAAAACATCCCTTTTTTCAGCAAATCATGGAGCTTGATTCCTTTGCCTCAGAAAACGTCCAATATGTATTTTTTGACGAGGCCGGATTCAATCTGAATAAGAAACGGAGACGTGGTAGGAACATCATAGGAGAGAGGGCTACCGTGGAAACGCCAGCAGAGCGGCGTGGAAACATAACCATATGTGCAGCTATGTCTGAGGATGGTTTCTTGTATCATGAAGAAGTTTTGGGGGCTTTCAATTCCAAGAGGCTTCTGGGCTTCCTTGATCATGCGTACGGGGAGCTGCAAGGAGATCCTGATGTGGTGGAGAATACGCAAGACCAAACTGTCTATGTCTTCATTTGTGACAATGTTCGATTTCACAAGACAGCCGAAGTGAAGAAGTGGTTTGAGGATCATTCTGATTGCATGCAGGTATTCCTGCCCCCTTATTCGCCATTCCTAAACCCCATCGAGGAGTTCTTTTCAGCGTGGCGATGGAGGGTCTATGATCATGATGCTCGTGATCGCGTGTCCCTTCTTGAAGCCATGTCGGAGGCATGCTCTGCCATTCGAACTGAAAGCTTTCGGGGCTGGATGCGCCACTCTCGTCAATACTTTCATCGCTGCATAGCAAAGGAAGACATCATAGCTGATGTAGATGAGATGCTTTGGCCGGGAAGAGACAGATTAGACGAATGAACCCCAGGTCTTGAATAGAAGGGTATTCCAGTTACAGCAGCTTCAATTCTCTCCTTTAAAGTTCACTCACTCTTGTACATTGTGCCGTTCGTTATTCGTTATAGCGGCTCCAAGTGCATTTCCATACTAGAAGCTGTGACAGGCAACATGTGTATATTGTACCTCCAGAATCTGAGAGTTAGAGTTTTCTCCTAAGTCGCACATTTTCACATTTT